AAGCCACAGTTTCTGAGTTTTTGTCCCCCCCCCCTTCAACATAGAGCCCATGAAATGAGAGTGGATGAGAAGACTCAACTCAGCTTTGCATGGTTAAGCCAAGAAGGCTCCTAGCCTCCCCTTCAACTCCCAAGGAAGCCCCTGGGGTACCCTGAAGGAACCCAGTTTGAAAACCTCTTCAATAAAAGGTTCTCTAGCTTTGTTAAAACCAAAGGTTTGAGGTTTGGGAAAAAGTACAGGGGAGCCCGCACAGACTCTTCTTCACAAGGTGATAAAGGAGCCCAGCTCTGGAGTCGGGGAGAGCTGCCATAGAACTCTGGCCCTGCTGTGGGTGGCTGCACAGAACCTTGGCAAGTCACTTCGCCTGTCTCCGCTTCCCCATCTGAGCGATGGCGACAATCCCCCCTTGCAGGGGTGTGGTGAGGATTAAAAGAGACGACCTAGTCTATAGAGGGCTCTCGGCCTGACTCTGGGTACCTACTATGCGCTCAGCAAATGACTGTAGGCTGATTCTATACCCGGGCAGTCATGTGACCCAGCTGCAACAGACCCCGGCTAGTGAACAGCACGTGCTGGGCTGTGCTGGGAGGTGTCGGGGTGAGGCAAGTACCTGGCTGGCCCTGGGCCTGAGTGGACTGGGAAGGGCCCAGGCTGGGTTGGGGGGCCCCTCGGCGGGCCCGGCCATGGAAACCGAGGCTGGGGCTGTTCTTGGCTTTGCCAGGGAAGGGGACTGCAGGGCTGGCCAAAGGCTCCAGGCTCTTGGGATGTTTGGAGTGGCCAATGCCGTTGGGTGAAAGGCCCCAGGACTTGGCTCTGATGTTGGTGACTGGAAGCAGGGCTGTCTGGCTGGGGCCTGTGGATAGAAGTGGGGCAGACTGAGAAGGGAGTTGAATGCCTCTGTCCAGCTGTCTTCAGTCCCCCCTAGACTCTGAAGGAACCCCATCTGTCTCTTGGTCCTCTCAGGGGAACTCCCTAGTCTTCCTCCAGAGCCGTATTCTAGGATCCAGGCCCTCCTACCAATGAGTTTCTGGGGTCTTTGTCTGGTCTCAGAGAACCCCATGCCCACAACCCAAAGTCTAGCCCTGAAATTTCATACCTGAGCGGTTGGTGGTGGGACTGGGAACGGGGCTGAGACTATGGCCAGGATTAAAGCTGGGGCCAAGACTAGAGTCAGTGGTAGGACTGGAGGTGGGTGAGGAGCAGCAGATGACAGGGCAGGGGTGGCTGGAACACAGGTCCAAGGTGCGGATAGTTGGGCCTGGGGCCGAGCTGGTCAGACCAGTGGTAACTGAGGGAGCCAGAGGCTGTATGAGCCCAAGCAGGTCCAAGGTGCGGATAGTTGGGCCTGGGGCCGAGCTGGTCAGACCAGTGGTAACTGAGGGAGCCAGAGGCTGTATGAGCCCAAGGAGGGCA